AATGCTTTCAATATGGAAATCGGGTCATAATCACTGAAATGTGACACTCTGCTGAGACTTGGAGAAACACAGTCAAAGTTTTTGCTTGGGCTACCTAGACACTGGTCCAAGAAAACAATCTCAGATATTGAAGACATATGCATAAAACATTAATGAAACTGTTATTTATGGTAATGAAAGATGTAGAAATTTCCAATATCCAATAAACATAAAACACAGTAATAAAGTATGTATCTTTATATAATGAAGTGTTGCATAGACAATTAAAAATGATGGTTATAAAGGTCTTATAATAACATAAAAATTGTTATCACAGAACATTAAGAGGAGAAAAATCAGACTGCAGAAACTCACATTTAATGTGTATAGGTTATGTATAAATGAGCATATGCAGACAAGAAGAGACTAGGGAAAAAAAGAACAATAAAAGCTTGGAAAGGCAAGATTGCAATGAGAAGACTTTTAGTCTGTTGTTTGTTTTCCATCCCATCCCTTTCTCTTTTAAAAGACATTTTCCTAGGACCTCCTATCTACACACACCTGGAGGGACAGCTCTGCTTTTCCATTTTTCTTACTCTCCCTTATGGTCTTTCTGAAAAAGCAAAAGAAAAGATGCTGGCACAACCATCATCATGAACCTACAGTGACTACACTGATCTTAATCAAAGTACAATAGAGACATGGAGCCCATCCTGACTGTCCCTACACAGCAGCCACTGGTCCGCCAGCAACTAGGCATCATAAACAGCTCAAAAGAACAGTCCTTAAGGAACCATCTTCCTGGACCCTCTAAAGTGGGTTGATCTAAAACCAGTACTACATCTATTGACTTCCTGTGGGCTTTCTTACTCTCAACAGCAGTCCACACTGCAATCCAAACAGCCCAGAAAAGAAGTAAGAGTTTAAAGTCTGGGATACCTTAGGGTGTATACTTTATTAGAACACCCTCCTGCAGTGATGGCAAGAAATAGGAACAAAAGGACTGTGATCTTTCAGGAGACACAATAATTAAGGGAAGTTAATAAGGAAGAGATATTGGAGATATTCTTTCTCTCTTTCACAACACTATATAAGCAAATGCCATCAGAGACCAGAGGCACTTAGAGGCCAGCCCAGCTACACCAGAAGAAGGTAAACACCTAGGGAGGGTGAGGGGCCACAAAGGCAAAGATGGGAACCACAACAAGTATTCACACTGCATGTGCAAAGAAAACAATCTTCTCAGTGCAGAATGTGCCTGCCTGTTAAATATCTCCCAACGGAAGAGTGGAAATACTATTCATTTGCAGCTCAGTAGGATATTAAAACAAAAACAAAAACAAAAATTAAAAAAATAAAAAAAAAAAGAAATACATACTTTTCCCCCATGATAGCTCGGCTCAAGCAGACTAGAAAGGGATTGTGTTAAGACACATATTCCACTTTTGTGCTCTGCTTGCAAATTATAATTGCTGAAGCAGTTGGAGTGATAAATGGGAACACAAGACAGGCCTGTTGATCTTCCTGTTAATGAGGTATCAAAGGAGTGAAAGGGTCACATACAAAGAAGGAGTTTTCATGTCAGTCGGTCCTATTCTTTACACATGTATCGGATAGCTGAATCAATCCATAACGTAAGATTCCTAGGTGACCTGTCTTGATGGGGTGACAAATCTGGAATTCACAGAGAAAATTTTACCTCCAGATGAAGCTTTTCTTATTACTGCTAACCAATATTGTGCCCCATTCCTGGCCTAACTCAAAGGCACTGTGGGGCACTAAGGATGAAATGGATAAAATGGCAGCCCCTTACTACACCTAACTCATCCATTTCACAGCCATTACAGCAACGATGAGGTATGTGTGTGGTCGGTTCTTCCTCCAGGAGCCTTGGCAAAAATCACCCTGGATCACAGTGTTCTTCCCAAGAATCCTCTCCAGGGGGATTCCATCTCTCCATCAACTGAAGGTGGCATGGGGGAAGAAATCTTATGAAGGATCTTTCTCTAGACAATTGCAAATCTCCAAATTATAGATAACAATATTTGGGCAATATTATCTGTGAATTGCACACTCACTCTATTTGTCTACATGCAAGATAAAAGTATTAACATCATCCTTCATCTCAATATCTTGTTTTAAGCATGACTACACTCCCTCCAATGTGTCCCCACTGTCCCCAGTACCACTTCACTCTGTACCATCCCTCCCAGAGAAGTAGTTTTAGGGATTTTTATTGTTGATTTGTTTTTGTTTTACCATTTCATAAGAATTATGAAGAGTATTATAAAGAACAGAGAGCAGTGGAAGTTAGGCTGAGAAGTGAATCTGTGATAGTAAATCAGATCCAAACAATTGTTATCAGATGACCATAGGTATACAAACTTATCACGCGTGGGATACAAATTTGTGTCCCAGAAAAATAGCAAAGCACTTAGGTGCCATGGTCTTTGGAAGTGCTAATAAGCATAATTCTCAATGACTTATAATGCACAAATTATAAATCTGATATGAAACTGAAGACGTGAAATTGCCAAATGTCCAATTGATCATATCTGTTCCTGTCAATAACCTTACAGAATTGACAAGAATATTGTTCCCATTACAGAGATGAGGGAACCAGAGCTCGAAGAGTCCCTGTGTCAGCCAAAGCAGAGCTCCACGACACACTCTTTGTCTTTTCTCAAGGAGGTGCCTAGTGAATGTTTCTATTCCTAACCCACACAGGCCGTGTCTCTTCAACATAAATGGATTAGAGCTTGAGACAGACATGGATTCTGTCACTGGGGGAAAAAAAAAGTCTGTGTAACGTGAGCACTTCCACTGCAACTTCTGTGACACCTAGAAGAATAATCATGGCAATTATACATCAGAAATGAAGAAGTGATAATTACAAAGATGGAATTTCCAGCTACCACTTGGCTAGCCAGCACGGGCACTAACTTTTATATTTCCCCATGGGGGCATATATGAATCTCAAAGTGCAGGAGAGATGAAACACAATTATCAGGACCTGGGGATTTATTCTTTCTGCTACACAAAGGAAGGGGGAGGGCAGACCACAGCTGGAACCTTCTCTTCTTGCTCTTTGCAAAACATAGGAAAATGCTGCCCCTCATCCACTTAATTTAATTTCCTTCAGAAATGATGACAAGGCTTATCCAGTCTATTGTACTTTCCTTTTCCATCAACTTGACTTCCTAGTCAGCCAACAGCCTCACCATCTCAAGAGTTTGTTCCAGAAATAGCAGAGGATTTTTTTTTTCTTTTTGATGGAACTCTGCATGATGGTACAGAGAAACAGGTCCTTCTGAGATGAGCAAAAGGCTGTAGTCACATGGCTGGAATATCAGAGAAACAAATATTTCCTTTTGTGCTTTAGTCTATTAAAAAATCTTAGTAGTCCTAAATACAGATCAAATATTAAGTGTAATAATAGTACAGACCAAATAGTAGTCGGTCTGAAAAGGCCAAATTAACTTGGGATAGTCCAGCTGTTGAGCCAAGAGCACTTCCCGGTCCTCACTGCTTTCTCCCAATTATCTTCACTGTGTACAATCAATACACAGTACACAGTGTGTTTTCACAACATGCTTCTACAATCATCCTTTTTAATTCTGGTCATAGTTTTGTGGGTTCAGAGGGAACTGTAGGGAGCCACTGTTTTCAAAAATGTTGGTGTGAATATATATATGTACAAAGTACTCATCACCATCTCCCACTACATACACATGCACGTGCGCGCGCACACACACACACACACACACACACACACACACACATGCCACCCCCACCTTGTATAAGACACAAATGGACATTTGATTATTATTTTTTTAACTTTAGAGGTTGGTGGAGAGGAGCAGACAGAGAGAGAGAGAGAGAGAGAGAGAATCTTAATCCGACAGGGGGCTCGATGCCATGACCCCTGGGATCATGACCCGAGCCGAAATCAAAAGTCAGATGCTCAGCTGACTGAGCCACCCAAGCATCCCCCATTTCATGATTTTTTAGGGGCATTGAACTAAGGTAGTTAGAAAGAAATATGGAATATAGACTACTTTCAAAGATTAACTTTGCTTTTGTTTTAATTAAGCACAGAATTACACATATTGACCACTTTGATGCATGCTTCCTATTCTCTATTCCTTTGGCCACACCTCTGCTGAAATGAAAGTGAGATACAAATAAGAAGCATTTTCATATTGCAGCAGGGAAAAAGAAAATATAGAATTATACCAAACCAAGTTTTCTTTGCTACAACCAAGGTAAAAATAGTATGCACGTATAAAGGAACACCAATTTAAAAAAACACTTTCTGATGAGGGGGAGCTAATTTTCCATTTGGAACACATATGTACTCTTTAAAAAGGCTTCTCAAAATGTGCTCCATGGAAGTTCTTCTGAAGGAGTTATCATTTGTGACACGAGAAAACGATTCTGTAGTGAAATAAGTTTGGAAATCAGTGACTGAATGCTTGGTAGACTTCTTCAGTCAGGGCTTCCCCAGAGTCTTAAATATCCTAACACGAACCCCGCATCTTCAGTAAGGCAGACTTAAATAATTATTATTTAAAATCATTTGACCATAGAAATGCTTATCAAATTTTGTGGAACTAGTGTTCTTCAGAGTACATTTTAGGAAATACCACTTTTAGAATGGGTACATAAAATAGATACTCCCCCCCACAAAAAAGGGGGGATAAGTATATAGCTAAGAGCACCTGCTCATGACCTTCTCATGGAACACCCTAGCCCAGGGCTTCTCAACCTCTAATGTACACACTAAATCACTAGGGACCACGTTACATGCAGATTGTTGCCCAGGAAGTCTTGCCTGAGGTTCTGCATTTCTAACAAGTTCCCAGGTGATACTGATGCTGCTAGTCAGCGAACCACACTGAATAGCCAAGGGCTAGAACAATCCGTCTTCAGGTGCTGAAGGTGGCCAGGATTGTCCAGAGAGCTAGGCTGTCTGATGGTTCTTTATCCAAGAGGGCAGTGAGTGTGCAGATGGGGCTTACCAGTAAAACCTGTTGGGTGTGATGCGTTCATGCACGAGTTGCCACCGTCTTCCAAAGTCCATGGAGCTGTACAGCTGCAAAACAATGACGTGAGGAAAGCATAAGCATCGAGGGAACTGTTCAACATAAATACATGTGGTATGCCCCTGGATAAGGACCTTCCAACACACCCAAGTAGACACCCATTTTATCGAGATGAAAATATGAATATGATGTGCTGGGCTTATCATGGTGCCTTCTAGCACCAGGTAGGTGCTCCACATATATCCGATCGGCTGGTGTTTTTGAGCTGAGTTGATGTCATCTATCATTCTCTCCTTCAGGGACAAAATCTTTTGTAAAATTCTATCTTATTTTTCTTCAAATTCCCTGAAGTCTTTTTAAAAGAATTTTTAAAGATTATTTATTTATCTTTAAGAGATTGAGAGAGAAAGAGAGAGAAAGAGAGAGAGAGAGTCAGGATCCCAAATAGGCTCTGCACCATCAGAGCAGAGCCCTGACACAGGGCTCAAACTCACAAACCGCAGGATCATGACCTGAGCAGAAATCAAGCATCAGATGCTTAACTGAGCCACCCAGGCACACCCGTAAATTCCTTGAGGTCTTTAGCTACATTGAAAACAATTCAGCAAAATTCGCTAAGAATTTACTTATTGGATATCTCCTATGCATCAGGCACTCTGGTGGATGTGAAGATAAAAAAGAGGTAGATTCTGTGCTCTCAGAGAAATGAAACACACGTAAAAATACTCATCAGCTGGTATCTGAGCCAATATTATATGCAAAATATTGTGCTAGTGAAGTTTTATCTCCTACTGCTCCAATACATAATCCAAATGAAATGGACTCTTCAGTGTCAATCGAGATACCACCCTTATTTATACTCCCATGTCTTCACAGAGATAAGGCCACGCTTATGCCTAAGTAAACATTACTCAGCCATGCACCCACAAATGTGGCTTCCTCCCCGGATCCTTTTCTACCCACTTCAACCCACTCCTCTTTCTTGCTTCTCAACTCACTGCACCCAACTTTGGTTTCCTCTGAGCACTTGCCATAAGGTAATATGTGGTTATGTCTTTCAGATTTGTCTGTATTATTTAGTTGCATTTATACTCCTTAAATACATAGGAGGTGTTCACTAAATAAATACCTGTTGCATAAATCAGTAATTAAACAGACAAGTCAGTATAGATAGTAACATAGAGAGATGAAAGGAGAAAAAATTCTGGAGGAGGCTCAAGACTTGGGAAAAATGAAGAACTCTCAGTGTAGCTAATAAAGTCAGATTCCACATTCACTTACTTTATGGATGTAGAGTGTGACCCTTTTTGAACACATAAAGGAAAGGCCAACATTCCTATAAGAGACTAGCCAAGAGTATGGGGTTTATTTTTAAGTGTATGTCTGGAAGTACAATATCTGCAGCTAATTGATAATGGTGATAATAATAATAATAATAATAATAATAATAATAATAATAATAGATGGACCACATTGCACTTTCACATACTTTTGAGACTTACAAGGACAATGACAGTAAGGCAAGGCAGTTATAACTCACTTGAATCTTTGCTCTCAAATATTTTCTTTTTTTTAAGTTTGTTTATTCATTTACCTATTTATTTACTTACTTATTTTGAGTGAGAAAGAGAGAATCCCAAGCAGGCTCCATACCATCAGTGCAGAGCCCAATGCAGGACTCGATCTCACAACCTTGAGATCATGATCTGAGCTGATGTCAAGAGTCAGATGCTTAACCTACTGAACCACACAGGTGCCCCAAGCATTTTCTAATCTATAAGCAGAGTCAACCACTCCCAGCCAGTACCATCACTATTTTTACTGTCTGCCTCTAAGAAGCAGTTCACACCAAGCCAATAATGGTTGGCATGTCCCTCCCTCCATCAGAGTATGAGTCATAAGAGGAGCATAGATCATGCCCAATTAACCCTTATGTATCAGCAGTTACACAATGCCTGATACATAACAGGTGAGCACACAAACCTATTTCGAAGTTAATGAAACTTGGTCTTGGAGAAGTTAAGTTTTGGTCAACGTAACTAGGATTTAAGTTTTTTGATGCCTAGCTCACATCTCCTTCCATGGAATCATGGTACCTAGTTTATAATGAGAATTCTATTATGTTTATGTTCTCCACACTTTTACAGGTGGGGAGACTAAGAAAGGCAGAAGCAGATGGGCCTCAAGTTTATAGAAATGGGGTCAGGTGAAGTATCTCCCCATTATCACATCCCTGGTAGTGTTCACCTATAGGAATGTGCTGCCTGGCACGCCACACCCAGGTAACACTGCCATCTGTAAAGTTCTGAGTCCGCAGTCATGCAACTCAAACAGAAATAATTTTTTGTATGAACATCTGGTAATCTCAAATAAGCTTTGTGGGGCTTGAGGAAGTTTTAGACCATTTCAATTTAATTCCAATATTTATTGGACATTGGCACCATAAACTACATAACAATGTTTCTTTTTGTCCAGTAAATAACATAGATGTGTGCATGTGTGTGTTGGGATATAACATATGCATACATACATATATACACGTAAATACGTATCTGTATACTCAAAATATCCTATATGGTAGTTAAGGAGATATATTAGCATCCCCATTTTATAGATGAAGATACTGATGCTTGATTCTTTAAAGTGGCTATAACAACTATATGAAAACCAGGATGCCAATACTGATTTAGCTGATCACAGTTTATACTATACTTCACCAACTCTACCAACTCTCACCCAAACCGGATTCCCATTCCATCGGTAAGTACTAACTACTGTGTGTATTCAACTCTGCATATGGGAAAATCAGGCAAAATTATTCCCCATCACCCTTTGTCCTTTCTCTATTCACGAGCCTAGTGAAGACAGCAACTAATTCTAGACCATTATACTGTAGAACACACAGAGCCACATCCAATTCTTCAGAAACCAAAATGACAACCCCTTCCTGAACCTCAAATACACATAAAAAATCTCTATCTGCCTCCCGTCCCATCCACACCACCTATCTCTATTTCTCCAGGAAGCCTCACTCTTCCATTTCCACCCATGTTAATCTTGCCCGTCTCTCAACTTATACATAGATGACTCCCAAATACACATACACGACACCAAAGGCTAAAGCTCTAGAAGTTGAGAAATGGGCAAGAAATGGAACAATTAGCCTTCCTGGAGCTACACAGCTTGACCTAGGCCTCTGGAGATGAGTGGTATGGACAGGACAAAAGATGGATACAGATTTTACTGGGTGGAGGAAACAATAAGAACAAAGTGTCAATATGGCCAAGGTCTTGAGCCTGGCTTATGGGGAAGCTTTTTTTTTTTTTTTTTAATTACTTATTTATTTATTTGGAGAGAGAGAGAGAGAGAGAGAGAGAGAGAGAGAGAGAGAACTGGGGAGAGACGGAGAGAGAGGGAAAGAAAGAATCCAAAGCAGCCTCCATGCTGTCAGCACAGAGTCTGAAGTGGGGCTTGAACTCGTGAACTGTGAGATCATGACCTGAGCCAAAGTTGGACACTTAACCTACTGAGCCACTCAGGCATCCCATGGAGAAGCTTTTAAGAGGAAGGAGAAATGTGACGCCTGTCATTGGCTAAAAGGAGGTGGAGGTTGTCTGTCCATTTTTCTGTCTCTCTTCCTATCCATCCAACTATTTGTGGTTGATCTTATATTTATCTGTATGTATATTTCTATCGGGGAGGGGATTGGGAGGAGGGAGAGAGTTGGTGAGGACCAGACCACTGCATTGGAAAGGATATATTCTTATATTTTATTTCAAGGACTGAGATTTCCTGCAGAGTGTTAAGAAATGGATCACTCTCCTTCCCATGGCAGGTGTCTGAGGGACAGATGCTCAGACTTAAGACACATGTTTCCTAATTAAATATAGAAGAGACTTTGGTTGGAGCCTTCTATAGCCCAAAGATATCAGACTGTCAGCCCAGATTCCAATCATAGAATCAGAGCCCCAAATTCCTTCAAATAAAACCCAGCATGATCGTGTCTTTCTCTGCTGCAAACTCTAAAGACAAGCCAGGGAAGAACCATGAGGGTCACACTGACATTGCTGGCGTCTCAATCCTCTGGGGGAAATTATCAGTCCTTCCATCATGCAGGATCCAGTAGTGGCTAAATGCATCCACCACAGCTCCTGCTGGGGCTCACTCTCAGGGTAAGCATGGCTCCTCTCATCTCATGCTATTTCTAACAGAGAAAGAACAAGAGATCAGCTGCTGATCTCCTCATCCAAGTCTGTTCCACCTCCTGCCTCCCTTGTCTCTGGTTTTGCTTTTTCAGCTCTTCTGTTTGACTGATGGGAGAAAAATTAAATTGAATTCTCTGCCTAGAGGCTGATTCAGATGAACAGAAAGAGCAGGCTCCTATTCATTAGGAGTCTTTGGTTAGCTACCTTGTCTCTCTATCCACAGTAAGTTGCTGAGTCTGAAATGAACTTTATTTTACCACGAGCTGGATCTTTGCAGCCTCTCCATTCATATAAGTGTTCATCCATTTCTTCCTTCCTTCACTCATTGACTAAAATTGTATCAAGCAACCAATATGATTTAAGCACGGAACTAAGTGCTGGAATTATAAAGGTTAAAAATGCCATGAACAGTGGAAGACAGAAACTCAGACAATTATACTGTCATGCAAAGTATGTCATAATATTATCACTAGCTATCTGTGCAAGGGTAAGATTGTAGGCCATTGGTATTTTTTCTTTTGGTTATGTGGGTTTTTAAATTATTAAGAACATATATTACTTTAGTAATTAAAAAGTTAAAGCTCTAACACTCAAAGAATTTAGGCAACCATTGAATAGTGTTAGAAGGTATTTAATGATATGAAAATGCTTATGATACATTATTTACTTTAAAATATACTATAAAACATGCATACATTCACACCAATTTTATTTAAAGTATTGTAAAAACTTGAAACATATCAGAAGGAAATATGCCAAAATATTAGCAGTGGTTATTTCTGAATTGTGGGATTATGGATAATATGTACTTTTTTTTTAATTTGAGAGAGAGAGAGACAGCATGA